GTACAGAGGCGTTGGGCAGATAGGAGGATGGGCGCGAAGTGAGCAAGCGAGGTGCGCCCGAGATAGCAGGAGACCAGAGGGAAGAGAGAGCGATAAAGAACGATGATAATAATAATGATTGATGATGATGATGATGATGATATGATGATGCATTGATGATGATGATGAGATGATGATGATGAGCATGATATATATATATACTATATCTAGATAAAGATAGCATTAGATGGCGTGCTCATAGATACATTATAGCTACAAGAAAATTAGCCGAATATATACTGAAAATATTAATCAGTCAAAACGTAGCATGCGGGTGAAATTCCATCACATTTATACGACGAAGAAATCGTCCGGCTTCTATGTTAATGAGAATGGTATACCGTATACTTCTATGTCATTATGAAATATACCTTATACTTCTTTCAGACAGAATTTTCGTGAGTGTTATTCAATAAAGAAATCGTAACTTGAATTATATTCGCGGCTAAAACACGCTTGAATAGTATGCCCAGCGGCGATAAGATGCTAATCAAAATTATGGATGCGCGAAAAGAAATTTACTCGGAATGAAATTACGCGTAACATAATATAGCCGAGCTAGAAGCTGGCGTGCGTGGATGTCAGGGACACATCATCACATCATGCCACACCAATAGATACTTATGATGGGCCACCGGTGCGGGCTAAGGAGTTGGTGTCATGTCCTGTGTGTTGTGGTTGTGTATGTGTGAGTGTGAGTGTGTGTGTGTGTGTGCTGTGTGGTGTGGTGTGTGTGTTTTGTGCACACGTGTGTCGTTGGTGTGTGTGTGTGTGTGACTGTGTGTGCGCGTAAAAGTGCCGCGGTCCCGGTGCGTGCGCCGCGCCTGCGGTGTGTGTGTGGCACGTTACATGGAGTGTTGGATGGCGTTTAGCGGTGCGCCGCGCTGCTGCACTATGCGTGCGTAGTGGCGTGCACGCGCCACATGTGTGTGTATGTGTGCGCGTGCACGTATACGTGTCGTGGTGTGGGTGTCGCGCTTAAGCGCGAGCGCTGCGTACATGGCGTGCGGCTGGCGCGTGCACGTACGCGGTGTGTGTGTGTGTGTGAGGCGGGGAGGAGAATAGAAGATAAAAACCTACTGACAGTTATCGAAAAATATAGCGACGGGAGTTTATGCATCTCTGAACACACTTTAATTCCCGGACATAACTGCATATCAGCCTCTATATTAATCGGGATACGTTGGTCGTTCATTATAGTCATCCATGAGAATTTGCAACAAGATTGCTTTCTATAATAATATCTATTCGCAATCATATGAGCAAGAAAAAATTACGCGAACTATTATTATATGAAACATAAACGAACCCGTCTTACATGACACTGACGCATATATGTATATATATATATATATATTTATTATATAGAGCAAGAGCAGAGAGAGAGAGAGAGGAGAGGAGAGAAAGAGGGAGAGAGAGAGAGAGAGAAGAGCGAGGAGGAGAGAGAGGCAGAGAGAGAGAGAGAGGAGAGAGCAGGAGAGAGAGAAATTTGAAATGTGAAGCAGCGAATTTGAATGGACAATAGAGTTATTTTTCAGCGTAGCACTTTAGCACTTTAGGCTCTAGTTGTCGGAACACCCGATGTTACTCAACATTCGATGTTTCCCACTGCTGAAGTTCTGCCGCTGCAAACATCGTGCTGCGCGTAAGCGAGCGGCAACAGTAACAGATCTGTTGCA